GAGAGTTTCTGATTGTAGATTGTTTTGGTAAAGAAGAGAGAACACTGGAGGTTAAATATCAGTGTTCACGGAAAGTCGACACATGCAAACCGGTGTCTCAGCTTCAACTCATCCAACCGTTTTCTGTCGGGACAAAATTCTGCTACATCAACCAAACATTAGCAAGCTTCATGCATATGCTGAGTGAGAAAATTTGATTGATCAGACTAGTGATCTTTTCCCAGCCTCTGAAAAGGAGTTCAAGCGTTTTAAGTCAACAAATCTAGACTCATGCCATCAGTACCTCAATACAAAGTCTAAGTGCAATAATCTGTTGACTAAAGAACACAGAGAACAGCTCAACCAACTGAGACGTAACGAGGAATTGCTGACCACACGCCCTAATAAAGGTACTGGGATAGTCCTAATGGATAGAAAAGACTATATTGATAAAATGTTAGCAGTTTCTTCAGGCAACAATTTCGTTGCACCTGAGAAAGAGAAAGTCGAAACAGAAATAACAGAAATGCAACTGACCGGGATATTGAGCAAGGTAAAAAGTGATCAACTTATCTCTGATAATGTCTACGAAAGCATTTGATAATACCCCGACTATATGGATTACCAAAAACTCACAAATGGTGACTTCTACTGTGCCCTATTTTGGGCATGTCCGGATCTCCATACCATCCAATTGCAAAATGCCTGGCAGAACTCCTACAGCCTGTTAGAAAACAAATTTCAAAATACTCTCTTCGAGATACGTTTGAATTCGTCGACTGTATCAAAAATGTGAAAGTGGGCGACAACCGCATGATATCACTAGGTGATGAATCTCTCTTCACAAATATTCTGATAACGGAAACGATTTGTTTCTTATTTATGCAAGTATTTAGAAGACAGTGACTTGAGTATCGGAATGCCCACACAAAAGTTAAAGGAACTTCTATTTAGATGCACTTTGAACGTCCAGTTCACATTCACGGGTTCTACTTACAGACAGCAGTAGGGTTATTAACTTTCTACCTAATACTTATTTACTCATACAAAATACCTACAAAATTAGGTATCATTGAGTCCTACGCCTTCTTTGAAGTTGTTGCTTGTCCTTCTGTAGCGATGCAACTAAAAACTATGAATACGGAGGGTTCTCAGAGTCTGATAAAATTACTTTTACCAGTTAGTTGCATGAATTTCATGATGGCATTAACGAGACGACTTAAATACACACCACTTATTCTACTGACAACTTTTCGACTTCATCACAATATAACATAACTTTTTTCAAACATTTCAGGAAAAACTAAGGGGGGTAGGGGTGAGTTGAGAAGTAGAATAAACCAAAAAGAAGAGGTTGAGTTATATCGGATTGTATTGACTTCTTCTATAGAGTATTAGATGAAATATGTTCCTAGAAATTACCAGAATGTGGGACGATCAGGAAGGTTCAGTAGACAAACTTAATACAAAGTAGTTCAAATTCGACTTAGTAATGCGGATGAACAGCTGGTGTAAGTTTTGTTTATGTCTGAAAGTGAGACTAAATGTCTGAAATTTCAAGTGATATAACTTAATACTATATTGACAAGCATTACTATCTAATTTTTGATGAAAAACTATTTATATTGAAACAGTCTGACTGGGAATTAATGCGTACGGTAATCAGACAGGCCATCAACATACTTAATAAAATTGTTTTCATCTGAGCGAGGTTAGTCGTGCAAGAGGAATGAAATACCGACGAGAAAGTACAGAACCGTAAGGGACACCAGCTTTAGTTAGCAGTGGGAGACTTTCCTTTACAAGCAGTGTACTACTTTCTTACAGGAAAGCAAGAATGCAGCCGGTTAGCAGCCTAGGACTCAATCTGCTTATTATTACTATTGTTTCCTTCAATTCCTAGAGGAACATTGGGTTTCAGCCACACATCTCCATTGCTTCGCTTCTTCGGCAACATTTCCACCTGGCTCCACGTCTGCCCACATACTTTCATCTCCTCTTCACATGACCTCCTCCAAGTCACCCTCACACTGACGACCAACTCGCCGCTTCCCTTCCGAGTTCCACTCGAGCAATGGCTTGTCTAGTGATGTCACTTGATGGTTTCTTTGCTCAGAGTATGGCCAATCCATCTCCATTTCTTCCTGCCTATTTGTTTCACAATCGGTTCCTGGATGGTTCGCTATTGCCAGAGATCTCTGTTGCTGATCCTTTCTGGCCATCCGATCTTGAGCACCAGGCGAAGACAGCTGTTGATGAAGGTCTGTAGTTTGTTTGAGATGCTCTTCATGACGCGCAGTGCAAGTCTCTGATCCGTATAGTAGCACTGACTTCACATTGGAGTTGAAAATCCGGATCTTATTTCCATTTTGATGCTGAGTGCTGTTGACCTCCACACAGACTTGAGAGTAGTAAAAGCTTGTCTTGCTTTTCCGAATCTTGCTTTGATATCCTCGTTAGTTCCGCCTGTAGTTGAAACGATGCTTCCTATGTAGGTAGGTAGGTAAAGGAGGTTGTTTCTTTCAGATTTCTCCCGTTTATGCTGATTGTTGTCTGTTGTTGTTGGTGTTGGCCAGGAATCTTCATCGCCTCTATTTTCTCTACGTTCACCTGAATTCTCTCCTATCTTTGATGCTTCTTCTGCCAACTTGTTGCTCTTCACTTGCATATCTTCCAGTTTGTAGGAAATCAGACATATATCATCGGTGATGTCCAGATACTCGAAGTATTTTGTATGGGTCCAATTTATGCCTGTTTCCTCGTTGCCCAATGTCTGTCGCAGTATCCATTTTGCTTAACAGAAAAACTATTTAACAAAAATGGGAGTGTTATGTACGGAGACACATATTTGACATCATTGTCTGGGCTGGAAACCTTATCAGCAGGCAAGACAGATTGACTATCGGATGTACTCCTGATTTATGTGTAAGCAAACTGTTTCTGATCATTGGAAACTTTCCGTGAAGTAAGGTAAGGGTAATTTTCCTATTGTTTTTAAAAAAAGCGGGAGGGGGGGGGATAAACGCAACTGAGCTAATTTCACATATCATCCAGTTGATGACCTAGGTCAGGGATAACACTAATTCATAAAAGAACTCAGTCTGCAGATTAATACACTTGGCTTAAAGTACTTCTCACCTTTTATATGCAGTACAGAGTTAATTGGCACATTGACTTTTACTTAATTATAGAGAAAATATTCAAATGCTGTATCTGTAGGCATTTGTCTGATTTCCAGATAGCTTCCGTCAGGAATCCATATCATGTAGAGAATGTATGAAACAACTTAGCACAATATAGTTGTGTCATTTCGATTAGGAGTCTTGAGTAGTGTGCATTCACGACACTAACCAAGCTTACAATAATTCTACACTAATTCTAGTCTAATCTGTGGATGGTGACTAGCAGTGGAATCCAGGATGCGCATTTCGTCCTATTTCGGACTCGTCAACTGGACGAGTGACGATGTTCCCACCGAGGCTCGAACCCAGTGCCCTTAGTTTCAAACGCCAAAGCGTTATCCACCAGACCACTTGGGCCACGACAGCCACCTCTTGTGCAATGGGTCATATTAATTTAATTTAATTTGAGATTTTCCCTGTGTGTCGACAATCCCTTTTTGTGGTAAATGAATATTTTATCTACCTGAAATGAACCAACTGTATATTGAAATAATGGTGGTCATTCTTAAAAAGAGAACTGGACGCTTAATTAATCCAACGAAACGTTAAAAATAGGATTTACAGCTTAAATAATGCCTTTAGTGCTGAAATAAAGCTGAAAAAATTGCCACAATGCGTTGAACTAAGTCTTTTCGTTCAGAAGTAATGCCAGTCAGTGATGAGTCTGCGCTGAACTACTTCTGAAAACGCCTAGAATAAGCACAGGGTGCTGAATTATCGCCAGTCATGCTGAAAACCAACACTGAGTTCTAGTCTGTGCGCATAATCAAACCTTTTCAGAACAATTTCAGAATTTACTCACTGCAGACTGTTAGAATGAGTTCAGAATTAGTGAGATTTAATTCAGCATTATAGTAAACTTGGATACCTAGAATAGAATAGAATTTAAGACTGTCCGACTGCAAGGTCATTGCGTTATCATCCAGCGACTGGGTTGGAACCTCGTAGCCCATGAATAATAATCAGTTAAATTCATAAGATATGGTCTTTTGTAGATAAGAGTCAGTTTATACGCCGAAACTATCTCATATGCTCCGGTTCTACGAAAGTTCAACACTACACTTAACAAACTGATTGAAATGCTAGTCATTGTTGAGTCATGAAGTTTAGTCATCGATGATTCAAGTGGTTATTAACCTAGTGGCAATTGGTTCTACCCCTTACATCTTTTCTCACCTGGATTCATTAAACAGTACAAAGGACAGACACGTGGATGTGAACTTTTAACTTCATTCAAACAAAATATTCTTCTAACTGGAATATATGTGAAATGAATATGAATGTTAATCAGGACAAATGGAACTCGTTTTTACTGCACGCTAGCTAGATTCATGAAAAATTTGCATGTGAATAGTCAGTCTCCAGTGTGTAAGTGTGTGTGTGTGTGCATTTTGTCTATTATCGCTGATGAAATTCTTACATTGATATCACGTGACTTTATTTGTCAGTTTAAATTTTTCGCCGAAGTCATTCTAGGCTTATTTTGTATGTGCATAATAATAATACTAATACTAATAACAATAATAAGTGTATGTATATAAACTGGCAAAATATGCAGGATAGTTGAAAATTTTGTTTTGTTTTTCTATTTTCTGATTGGTTAAAAGTCTAACAGTGTACACACCCACAATTTTCTGGGTCACATAGAATATAATTTCAGCCAATGAGCGTTTTATTTCGTCAGCTAAATTTGAATACTGAGACATCTGTATATATATATAAAATTTAAAGTACCATTGGAATTAGAGAATTCAAAAAAAAATAACAACGATACTCACCCATCACGAAAAACTGTATTCTTCCTCTGAAATACATTTAAACAAAATCATATTGAATAAAATGCGATACAAAAGTTTGCAAAATAGTCAGACACATTGTTCTGTCATCCCATCACTGCAGCTGATTGCATCTTTGATGTTGGTTATACATCTAGCCAGTCAAACAACAGGATACAGTAAGTGAACCTTTTCAATATTCATTGAACATTTGTTTATATATATATATATATATATATATATATATATATATATGTCTATAAGATTGTCTGTTACCGCCTTATTATTATTGTTGTTCCCTTGGGTTCCTAGTAGAACATAGGGCTTCAACAGCACGCCTCCACTTGCTTCTGTCTTCTGCTGTACTTTTCACCTGCATCCATGTTAGTCTATACTGTTTCAACTCCTCTTCACACGATCTCCTCTATGTCACCCTCGGACGTCCCATTCGCCGCTTCCCTTTCGGGTTCCAATCGAGCGATGGCCTGATGCGCGATGTCACCCAGCGGCCTCCTCAGCGAGTGTCCAATCCATCTCCACTTTCTCCTGCATATTTGTTGTTTGTCGATTGGTTCTTGTTTCGTTTGTTCCCATAGTTTCTTGTTGGTGATTCTTTCCGACCATCTGATCTTCAGTATATAGCGGAGACAGTTGTTGATAGAGATCTGCAACCTGTTGAAAATATTCTTTGTGACCCACCGTCAAGTTTCTGATCCGTATAGAAGAAGTGACTGACTCGACGTTTGTATTGAAAATCCGAATTTTGTTGTTGATGCTGAGTTGAGTTACGAAGATTTCCAGATTGATTTTAGGTTGATGAATGTGTTTCTCGCCTTCCCGATTCTCGATTTGACATTGTCGTCCTTTCCTCCTGTATTTGAGACAATGCCTTACTTTGACAAATATATACGCAAGATGAATATTATTTATTATGGCTTATCAGCTGTGTTAATGGATTAGCTTGAAGCTTAGAGGCCAAAAAAAAAACTTATCAGTACTGTGTACCAATGTGAGTTATGACTGATTTAAATGCAAGCGTGTGATTTATACCCTGCGTATCTCTTTGTTTTTTGGTATCTTATGCCGGTATTTGATGAGTTGTAGCACATCGGGCTAGACACTAGATTCTCAACCAATGAATTTGTAATATTATCTTTCCTAATTTTTCTGACATTCAGCTTATTTTTATGTTGATGCTATTGAGCTGTAATCTGTCAATATTATTGATTCGATGTTATTTAAACATTAATATTGTTCATAACACTAATTCATTCAACCATTCACTATAATGTATATATAACTGTAGAGCCTGATGATGAAGTTATCGAAAAGGGTACTCTTTTTGATTGCACGCTAGTCAGTAACTAGTGTAATGTGTCTAGTCCTATCTTCGCTGCAGACTGAATTCTATCAGTCATGTTTGCAATGTGGCTACCATGCTGGGTGGCTCACCGTTAAGGTGCACTGTGAATTGTTGGTATTAGATGGTTGGAGGCAGTCGGCAGGAAGCCTACAGGAGGTCAGTCGCGAGCCTGAATGGCTCAGTGGTAACGTCTCTGACTGCAGCGCTGGGTGACGCGGGTTCGAATATCAGAAGGGAAATGAGTTCCTTCAAGGTTGCGGATACGCCTTGCTGATGAGTGCCAACTATCACGAAACCTAGGTCCAAGGCTTCCTGCCGATTGCCTCCAACCATCTAATACCAACAAGAGTACTCTTTGTTCAGTATCCGTTCTTTTGAAGAATTTAGTATTCAAAATACACTGACACAAGACCTTGTAAATCACTTAGGATAGAGCTGGAATTTTTATTTTGTTAATATTTTATTGGAAAATTGAAGAAAAAATAAAACTGTTACACCCTCAGGAGTGGCTTTATATGGTTGCATAGAAAACGAAATTTGTCATCTTCCCTTTGTAGATTGTCTAAATCCATGAGATAATTGATACTCTGCTACTGTTATATGAAGGAAATGAGTATGTGGTGACCACTGCTCACGCAGTTATTAGGTATTGTAGAAGTGGAACGCTTATGCGAGCACTAGTCAGACTAGTTCTGATGCAGGGAAACAGTGTTTATAAAAAATAAGTTACAGTGAGATGCACAGCATGTTTCCTTTTCCTGTATTATATCTACCTGGATTCTACTGAATTTATTGAGATTTATGGATAACGTCACTATCCTATCTATAAAACGTCTATGTAACTATATAAGTGAAACATTCAGTAGACAGTTTGAAAAAAGAAAGGACCAACATATTTACAGGATAATACGAGCTCTCTGTACCTCGTGGATCCTTTTCAGCTGAGTACATCCCAAATAATTTCAAAATATAAGTTACAAAATTGAATGAACATACTTTTCTCATAGTGATGTTGAGTTATAAATAGAAAAAATTTTTTTATTATTTTTACTCTGCTTTTTTTCCTTTACGTTCCCAGTGGAATATGTGGCTTCAAGCCTCTAGTGATATTTATTTTTACGGGATGAAGTTTCTAGCTTCATGCCCCAACCTTCCTTCTTTACCACTCTTATTACTGGCTTAGCGAGGAGTGCATCGGTGGTCGAGGATCGAACCCCGAACCACCTGTGTGGTTGGCGAGCATTCTACCGCTGTGCCATTGACACACATACACACACAAAGTGTAAGTGACATAATTTCAGAGTGATGAATAACCACAGCTTTTGCTCAATCGTTTGGAAACACAACTTGATCGAAATGCTGCTCAGCGGAGCTAGGGTGTTATGTTCAGAAAATAAGACTGAACAGAAACTCAGGATTTTTGAAAAGAACCTCAATGAGAATGGATGTCCCCGAAAGTTCTTACTGAAATAAAGAAGTGAAAAAATCCCCATCTAGACCGAAACCCAAAACGGTTTTAAAAAATCTAGTATCTACAAGATCCTAGAAAAGAATAAAGGATGCATTGAAGAGAATATTTCCTATGTCCAGATTGATTCCAATTTACAACACGGTATACTAGTTAAATAAGTCAAAACTGGACAAGTATCCTGTTTATGTCGATTCCAACTTCATTTGTCAATTCACGTGCGCTTATGACAGCAACTACATGGAAAGGATAGAGAGGAGAGAGTCTACCATATTTTCTGGGCAAATCTCTCAAAGTCTCCTTATGAAAGGTGACAAAGTGTTTTCAAATGTGATTGCTAGACACCTAACTGACACGGGACATACAGTGAAAATTAGTACTGCTTTCAATATAATCAATATACAAATCAAATAAAACCCTAGTTAATTCGTTTCTAAGAGGTCAAGCAAATTCGACCCAACATATATGTACAGAAAGATAGTATGACTAACCTCTCACTACCCTGGTAACTATAATTGTCTTGCTCATGTGTTTCATTCTGTTGCGTAACATTTTATTTAATTTTGATTTTCACTCACTGAGTTGAATTCACAATTACATTTCTAAATTGGCTTGATTGTCTGTCTATGTTATAATTTTAGTATTCACCCCTACCCTCTTTGACCTTTCATCATATATTGTGTAGAAATTCATTCTGTTGTTCGATTTTATGTTCTGTCTTTAGTGAACCTTTGTCTCCAAGCCGAATCTGAATTCTATTCACGCCTCTTATTTAATTTTACTATAAACAGGTAACCTTTTGACACTGAATAATTTGTCCACTTACATCATTCTGAAATTATGTCACTTATACTTTCTATCCATAACTCAGCATCACTATGAGAAAAGTTTGTTCATACAATTTTGTAACTTAGTTTTTGAAATTGTTTAGGGTGTACTCAGTTGAAAAGAATCCACGAAGTAAAATGAGTTCGTATTATTCTGTAAATATGGTTGGTTCTTTCTTTGTTCAAACTAATCAAGGGAACCAGATGTATGAAATTTAGTGCAGTAGTTGAACCATTGGTAAAGGCAGAACTGGAAAGGTGAATTATTACCTGAGAATTCGATCGAGGTTGGCGTCATAAAATTTTCTTGTGTCACAGTTACACTAATCTGAACTGTAATAGTACGGCACTATTTTAGAAAAGAATAACACTGCATTAAGCTAAATTCTAGCAGGAGAGAATTTCACGCTTTAGTAAGACATTGATTTGATGGATTATTCCCTTGGGTTCCAAGTGGAACATAGGGCTTGAACAACACATCTACACTTTGTTCTGTCTTCTGCTGTTCTCATCAGCTGGGCCCACGATTGCCCAAACTCTCTCATCCTTTTCTCGCCACGCGATCTCCTCCATGTCACCCTCGCACTGATGACCCATTCGTCACTTCCCATTCAGATTCCACTCCAGCTATGGCCTGCAGTGCTCGCGACGTTATTCGACGGCCTTCTCAACGTATGCCCGATCCATCTTCATTTTCTCCTACATGTTTGTTGAGCAATCGGCTGCTGGTTGGTTTGTTGGCAGAGTTTCTTCTTGATAATTCTTTCCTTTTTCCTCAGTATGGAGCGAAGACAGCTGTTGATAAAAAAAGTCTGCGGTAGTCTCTTGGAAATGCTTTTCGTGACGCGCAGTGCAGAGAAGAAATGACTTGACATTGGTGTTGGAAATCTGAATCTTTTTCTTGATGCTGGCTGAGTGCAGAAGATTTCCATACTACTTTCAGTTTGATGAAGGCGTATCTTACCTTTCCGATTTTAGCTGGTTTTGACATCTTCATCCGTTCCACTGGCCTGTGGTTGAAACCGTACTTACTGGCCAGATAAGTGAAGGAAGTAACCTCTGTCAAATCTCTCCCATTGATTGTGATTGGTGCTGGTTGTTGTTTTTGTTGTTGTTGCGGTTCATTGGTTATCTTCATCACCTCCGTCTTCTCAGTGTTCACCTGGACTCCTGCCTTCTCTGCCTGCCTCTTCAACCAGTTTGTTGGTTTTCGCCTGTAAGTCTTCGAGTTTGTGTGACATTAGACATATATCATCCACACGCGAAATCTAGATCTTCTAGAGTCTTCTTATCTGTCATCCAGCGTATTCCTGTCTCCTCGCTCCCAATGCACAGTCCGACTCATAATCCACTTAGTCCACCACAATTAGTAATATCATTGATGATAATTGAAAACTACACAAAGTTTAATTTTTTTTGTCATTAGATTACTTTTCAGCGTAGATATTACTTGATAAATGATCACTGTTTCACCTGTCTTTCTTCTGCTTTTAAAATCTATTTATACAGTGTTGTACAACAATGGGGTTTTATTGAAGGGATTGAAATTTTCTGAGCCATGTCCTGAACAGAATTACAAGTTTCATAATCGTAAGTTAAAGATTATTTCATTAAACGTTTATAATGCAAATTTTCAATATGAACTATATCTGCAAATGAAGTATAGAAATGACTATTTCGAAGCTTTGTTTATGAAATAATCTACAATTCTTACCAACTAAAACAAAAAATTCTAGAACAATGGGATTCCAAACCAAGGCCACCTTCCAGGTAGTGTGCGTCGGTGGCACAGTGGTTAGGACTCTCGCTGACCATGCACATGGTCCGGGTTTCGATCCCCTGCCGACGCACACTTGATATCTGTGGTCGGCCTACAAAATTTGGGCTACCGATATCACATGCTGAAAATTCCATACTTGTACCAAAAAATACTGTGTGGAATCAAGCTGTAATCGAGAAAAATAAATAAATAAAAATACAGCCTAGTGCATATAATTATTCTTGATCACATAAATATAGTGAGTTGTTATGCTGGTATCTCTGGTTGAGGTCATTAGCATATGTTTTACGTATTACAAACCACCGCATTCTTCGACGATCGGTTTTAACTTATACCTATGATTAGATTAGAAAAGATTTAGGGATGGTCAAGCCAGAGGAAGACTCCAATACATCAAGTTTTCGGTGATTACTTTCAGGCTGGAGTTTTCGGAATACTGAGAATCGATAGCTGGAGCTTCTTGTTGACATAGCTCGAAATTGTTCTCATTGGTGCAGATGTATTTTAATTCCATACGATCCTCTTTTCTCCACCATTAAATGTACTTTTTATTACATGGAGCACCTTGAACTGTGAGAAAACTTGTGCGAAAATTCTACCTTTTATGATTTTTGTGATTTCATTTCAACACAATTTGGAGACAGTGACATTTGTCGTCAGTATTCAGCAGTTTAGTGGTGATCTTTCAATTTTTCTACTGAAAATTCCTATTTTGTTGATGGCATCAATCGATAAATCGTAGCATGGAATGTAGTGTAATATCTGTCGCTTTTATTTTCAAACAGTCAGATGGATAGTCGGTGAATCTGCAGTTTGAATTCGTCTGATGTTAGTTCATTATATGTATATGATGCACCGTTTCAAATCCAAGATTGTTTCATACAGCTCGGCTAGTAAAAAGAGAATATGATTTTATTCTGATTCTCAAGACAGTTTAACCACTTATTTTACATTAGGTGGAGAGCAGTTTGATCTTGCTTTAAAACCTTCTAGTAGAAGTCAGAAGATTTACATAATTACTTTTACTTCAGTCACTTTATCGAGTTAATAACTTTTCATTGGTTGCTAGTGTCTGATTTCCAGTTGAATGCCTAGAAGTTTTAGGAGATAGGCTTGACGTGCAGGATCACCGCAATCTACTGCATAAATGGTCTTTCGCTGACAATATTAAATTATGGTCTTCATAAGCTGCGGAGTGGAGGGATTGAAATTCACTTGCTGAAATGCTAGGAGGTTGCTGTCAAATATGATGTCCGCAGTCTGAATCACCAACCTGCATTTCGTGCCATATCTGCCATGGAATGAATAAGGTGGACACTAGCAGCCTCATTGAAGACTGAATATTTTCAAATAAAGATGCCTGAAGTTAGTAGGAAGGGAGACTCATAAAAGCATAGGATATACTGACTTCTAAATCTCCTTTTAAACACTCCACAAACAGAGACTAAGTTGATAAAATAGGCTACTGACCCGGTCTCAGTCCCACTTCAACCATTGTTAGCCTACATTGAATTGCTTCAAATTTTAGGAGAACCTGAGGTTTGTTTCGGCTGCTTAACATGACTTCACAAAATTCAGGCTATTTGGTTCATTTTTACTTGTAACCACCATTTTTTTTAATACTGTTATATATTAGATATTTGTAGCAATTTATGACAAATATATATTTTAATTATTTGGTAGATATATATATGGTACGATTCAGTGTGCCAATACCTTATGCGTGGTCAGATAATGTAACCTTTAGTCTGTCGTACGATCTTATTCATTATATTATATTATCCATATTATATGCATACAAATATATTATAGACAAAATAATTAATTAAGACACACCTTTTTTTGTTGTTGTTGAATAAATAGAATTATTAATTCAATTCACTAACGTAATGGTTGGTATACATTTTCAAATTAGAAGTGAAGTCAAAGTTCACTTATTTATCACACAGTATAAACAGACATCTACCTCATTAGGTTAAATTAGTGGATTCGAATTAAACATTAAGATTATAATACTAAGCGTTTATATATATATGTATATGTATAAATGTGACACGTATTTTTGGATGTTTAATTCGTGGAAATTTGTTAGATTTCAGAGTTGATCATGGATTGATATCAGTTATAGAACCATTGAAAACCAGGGAGTACTGGACAGCTGCTGTTTCATCCTAGTTTGGTTCGAATCCCAGTGGGTGCGTACTGCCGATGATTCCCAAACTAGGATGAAACAGCAGCTGTCCAGTACTCCTTGCTGGTTTTCAATGGTTCTATAACTGATATCAATCCATGATCAACTCGTAAAAACATAACTAACCCTTACAAACCAAACTATAGAAGATTTCAGAGTGAATTATTTTCACGAATAGATATCACTTAGAGAACCACTGAGAACAAGGAAGCCCTAGATATCTATTTCGCTGTACATTGGACGGACAGACGGACGGTTTTCGACATAGAACTTTGCACATATGTGCGGCAGTTCAAGTCGCCACAATCTATGTAGCACGCAAAGCAAGAGGTCTTCTTCAATGTGCTCTCGCCAACCCCAAGTGGGTTAACTCTGAGATATTTAGGTTACTATTTGTTCACTTGTCACTCTAAAAGTTTCAAGATCAATAAGTCATGAGTGATCTATGTGAACACGTTTGTAAAGTGTACAGACTGTTATGATCAAACTACTGTCTAGTGATTCCTGGTTTCGAATAGTGGTCTAACTGATTGTACTTCAAATCATCGAAAGTACTTATTGAGTCACTAAGAAAATAAAAGACAATTCTGCGATGAAAATTTTCTTTATCGACGAAATCATCTTCACAAGCTGTACAGTCATATTTATAAATACCAAAAATGTATAGTAGTCCATTATTGAGTAATAGAGGTGATATAGTTGATACAATTACTTAGAAGTAGCTTCGAAAGTAAAACTAAAAGTTATAAATTACATATCTACGATTTTCTGAACATGTACCAAAAAGCTTACGTCTAAAGGGAACAAATGCTTTAAACAATGCCATCGCCAGGCATCTCCTTGACACGGGTCATCAGGTGGACGTTGAAAAGTCGTTCAAAATTATCAATAAGCAAAAGAGTTCAATTCTCCTTAAGTTTGCTGAAGCCATTTCCATCAAGTGCCTCAAACCTGATTTGTGCGTTCAGAAAGAAGCAGTTATCAGTCTTTCTTTGCCCTGGTAACTGGATATTTTTCATCCGAATGTGAGATACTGAAAAGTTTTCATTATGTATGATTATTATTGTTCGGAATTGTGTTCAATATTGCATATGTATATATTATTAGTGTATGTGTATATTGATCGACTGATTTCTGTTTAAAATGAACTCTGTGCAAGTATGTTAAATTGTTTTTGTAGATACATTTAATAATGTCTTTGCCCTGTAAGCAGCTGAAGAGAAGGGGACGAAATAAAATATGGTATCATTTTATTCTGCTAAAACTGTAGTTCTTGCTTTGTTCAAATTCATTAAGGGGAATAAATGTATGAAATTACATAATAGTCGATGGCACTCAACTACCCCTCCCCTCACTCAATAACAATTCTAACCTTATCAAATTTCTAACGCTTCCTTCCTTTATGCGGTTGAGTATGACGTAATTCATAACTTTTAGTCTTACTTCCAAAGCCACTTCTAAGTAACTATATCAATTATATCACTCTATTACTCAATAATGGACTGATATACATTTTTGGTAAATATAAATACGACTGTATAGCCTGTGAAGATGATTTCGTTGATAAAGGAAATTTTTTTTCGCAGAATTGCGTTTTATTTTCTTCATGATTGTACTTCGTGACGAAATCTACCTTGAAACTGAGATTTACACGAAGACCTCAGTAATCTGACTTCATCGTTGAATCCGTACCACTGAACATAGAAGTATTCGGGCTCAGTTTTGTTACAGTTGAAATGAATGAATATGAAATATGAATATGTAATGAAAAAGAGAAGACATTCAGCGAAGAGACTCTTTTCGGCGAATTCATTCACATAGCTGTACAATCGCATTTATATATAAATATTCGTGTGTGTGTGTGTGTACATGAGGTTTATCAAGTTTAGATAATTGATTAGTTAATACAAGAATGATGTAGTATAGAGACAAAGTTAATCAGACAGCAACTAAAGTAAGATTGGGTTAAAAAGCTAGATGACGTAATGTAATTGGCTAAAATGTTACAACTTAGGTCAGGATAGCAACAGAGGTAATTACAGGAAGAGATTAAGTAGAAGTGAAATTGAGTGAATAAGTTGGATGACGTAACATGAATGACTAGAAACTGAGCGTTGTTCAAGTCAGTAACAGTGGTAGTGAGGTGTAGAAATTGAATCGGGTGGGGGTAGAGAACAAGAAAGTTGAAAATGTAAAATGTTACAATTGAGAAGACAAAATAATACTAATGAAGAGGCAGAAGAAAAGATTAGATAGAATTTACATGTCGGCTAATAAGATAGATTAAGTTCATTGCAAGTGTAGTGATTGAACGAACATCTTCTGTATGCAGAGTTCAGGACTTAGCAAGTGAATCGCCATTGCTTCTGCAGTTTGAAGAAGTCTGATTCGTACACCTTTAGGGAGACTACTCTGAATATTCAAATCATGTGTCAATCATAATATGTCTATGACAATTCAGAACATTACTTAATTTACTGTCACTGTATAAAACTTTATGGGATTCCGCTAGACGTTGGCAGTGCTAGGTAAAAGCTTTCAATCTCTACACTTTCTTTTCTTGATTTATACTACTAACTGTCGAACAAAAAAACTTTCATTTATCAAATAGCGAGCAGTATGACAACTGATTCCTCACTGACTCACTCCTAAACCTTTCTCAGCCGATAGGAAGTCAGTAAAGAAGGAAGTTTGGGTGTGAAGCTGGCAGCCTCACCCAACAAAAACACAGGAATCTTAAAGTTCAAGTTCAAAACCCTATATTGCACTCAGAACTCAAAAAATGAAGGAACTTATGTGTGTGATAAAGTTTGCCGCTTCACAGTTTAACACTCATAGGTCAAGGTGATTCAGGTCACTTCTTTAATGAATATCATTCACCCTATCTTAGAGTTCAGGGAAACTTGCTGCATTTACTAGATGAAGAAAGAATTACACTGGTTGGTCATTAGGGTATTAGGTTTGCTATGTCTCTAGTCGTTATTGTTCATGCTGAACAAATTCTATGACTCAGGTTTACAAGTTATGTGATTCGTCATCATAGTACATTTTAAAATGATGGTAGATGATAGGAAGTGGTGCACAGGCAACCGTGGATCAATATTTCCTGCTTATAGTTACTTGTCAACAAGGCATACCTCCAACTTTGAAGAAAATAAGGTTCAAATTCACGTCATACAGTGTTGAAGTCGGAGAATTTACTACTGAGCTATTAGGGCTTATGACTAACCTCCAGTAGAGGTGAAGGAGACACACTGATTGTTCAGAAGGCTGTAATCAATGCCGTATGTCTACTATCTAGTGGTGACGTTCGAATCTGACAGGATGAATCAGTTTCTTTTCAGTTTTCAGATACTTCTAACTGACGAGTGTTGCGAAGGCACGAAACCTACGTTCATATATTTTCGCTGATTGCCTCCATCCAGCTAATATAAAAGAGTTAACTGTCAAATATACTTGTGTACTGAAGTGCAGTGAATGCTTTGTATGATAAATATGTGTGCTAATGAACATATCACAGTAATAAGGTTAAACTGTTCCACTATAAAATATTGTGAAAGTCATTAGTTGCACTACTTCGTTTCTTATTTAAAACCACAAAGTATACAGTTTCAGAAACAAATAAACAACTCGAAGAGATTGTTTTCTTTATTTTTAAAATTTTGTTTCAATGATCCATGATTCGGAAACAGAAAGCTCAAATTACTGAATTGTATTTACTCAAAGCTGAAGCGATTAGATCTAATTTCGTTTCAGATTCCGTAAAACAACTTAATAGTTTGCAATTCAATGGAGAATTAAATTCAACAACCGACAAGATATGATGTTGACTATAGAAAACCAGTTTACAGTTAGTCGACAAGGTTGTATTAACCACCTTGACACTGCTGCATAGACTTGTCACTTTTAATGGACTGATAAAGTATACATAACCTTCGTAGTATGAATTCAAACAAATTTTAGCTGAAAGTACTCTCTACTTTAAGTAGTGTAATCACTTCAATAAAATTAGTATGAAGGGAAGCTTAGAGGGACAAACCTATTTGAACATCTCTGTAAATTTGAGAAATTAAATGACTTTTATGAAGTTTGATTAGTCGGAGGATTTCATCATGAGCCGACATCAGTTAGAGAGCCATTGGAAAACCTGCAGGGAGTACTGGATAACTGTTCCATCAGTCCACTTTGGGACTCTTCAACAGTGCATACCCACCGCCAGCGTTTAAACCCAGGACGTTCTGGTTACAAGGCTGACGAGCTCGTAGACCATTACGACACTGGGACCCGATCCAATGGCCAGTCCATGAATTCCAAGTTCTGCCAATTCATGACATAGTGTGACCTTTGTGAAGTTGGGATTTTATAATTTTGCCCATTGTTTTACATTCACATGAGTCACTGATGATTTTAACCACACATACAGTAAATCAAAGGAAAGGAATACTACTTAGGTTTCGCTATCTTCAACTACTCAGCAAAAATTTATATCAGGGCATTCTGTTTATAAAAAATTGTCTTGTTCATCGATTACCACTAAAAATGTAGGAACACAGAGTTTCTACTTTAAAGAAACAAACTCACATCTTCATATAATATAACTTTTTGTATTTTATGTATATAAAAATATATTTCACTGGGTCATTATTATTATAGTGCCTATTACCAGTGCTTCCATCATCTCATTGTTTACCTCTACTTCATTTGGTCACGCATATGTCTTAAGATTTTCGAGACAATTTCGTAGGTGATCAGAAAAGAATTATTTTTGCTTCACAATTTGTTGTTTACTTCTTATTTTTATTTGATATTACCGTAAATAACTGATATCTCTTTCATCTTTTAATTTCGAAAACACTCCAGTCACAAGTACTTCAAGTTATCAGCAATAATAATTTATCGACAGATAACCTTGACATATCTGTCAAGGTCATCCCTTTCTGGTCTTTTAGCAGATTTAAACAAGAAAAAGGTAAACAAAAGCAATGGGACTATAAAATAAGCTTTAAAGAAGACTAGGTATTAAACATACGCACACACACACACAAACTGTTTGTTTGATAACACTGAAATAATAATCGCGCGATCGTATAATCACGTGATGATAGCAAAATGCTATTTTCATTTCAAATGAATGAAATATAAACTAGCTATCTACTAACTAAGTCTGACCTTAAATTATTGTGGCGCGTAGGTGTATCACGCCATTTTATTATAACATTGAAGTAATAATATTCATAAATAAAAATGTACAATGATATGATATGATATGATATTACTTCAAATAGAAATCAATACACTCTATGTTATCCATGTTACCTTGTTGACATTATTATTGGCCTGTAAGTGTATATTACAGAAAGAGAAATGAAAAAAATAAAAGATAACTAAACATTTAGAGCAAGAAAACAAAACAAAATAAACATCGGTGTGTTTATTCATGTGTACATGTCTATTTACTTTTCGTCAAAGTTCAGATTAACTTCATTGTAATAACAGGCTAGAAAGGATACACAAATGAGATTTCTGTCAAATTTAATAACTTGATTTCACTGCATTACTTACATTACTCACATGTTAGCAATGGAGTTTATAAAACTTTAGCCATATAATAAAATATTTCATGCTATCGTTCATAATTTCTTAAAAAATGTTGCAATAAATATGTGCATTACATACAGACAAGACAGTCATTACAAAAGTTAGGGTCCAGTGAGGTCCATCCAGACAGAAGTGGGGATGGATTTCCCGCCAGTGACACGAATTCAAAGAAGTTAGAATTCATCGACTATTGAGTCAGGTCCCAGTTGCTAAATGATATATATACAATCTTGCCTTGTAACCCGAAGGTCCTGAGTCCGAACTCCGGCGGTGGGTGTGTACTGCTGATGAGTCCCAAACAAGGCTGACGGAAAAGCTGTCCAGAACTCCATGGTTTTCAGTGATTCTCTAACTGATATCAATCCGTGGTCAAACTTGACAACACAAACCTAATCCTTACAAGATCAACTCTTGAAAGTTAAGATTATCAAGACAAGACAGTATGACTAATACATACATGTTTGAATTGATCTCTTTGTGCGTCACACTACCCAACCAACTATTTTCATAAAACTATATACTACTGATTGAAACGAGTAGTTGTGTAATACTCAGAACTCAACCAGTCACTTAGCGCAAATTAGCCAGGTCGAAGTGATCTAAACAAGGCTGATGAGCTTGTTCCCAACCCAAGCAAAACAACGGTCCAGTGTTTTGTTAACTTCAATCTGTCTAACAAACACTACTGACTAGTTGAGTTGTGAGTAGTATACAACTACTCATCTCAAGCAATCAGTAGTATGCAGTTTTCATGCATTTATGCCCGCTTTTTTTGATTACCAATTATGGTATTCAGGAGATTACATATTATGGTCTGGATAATTTCAGTTTTCAAAGGAAATAATCAGCATTTGAATTTCATGCAATATAGGTACCTGTTTTTGACTAAACTTAAAAAAGATAAATTAAAATTAATTAGAATAAAAGAATTTATGACTCCTAAGTTAGATTAGCATTTATTTTAATGGATCAGTCTGTTGGAATATATCTAAATGGTAATATAGGGTTACGTACATCTAACCTATTATTCTTATTTGAACATCGTTAACCGTGAGATTATGAATATATTTACTCTATTACTGATGAAGAAATCATTAACAGGTTAAAATCACAGAGAGGCCGAATTAACATGCGTACAAAATCCACTTTCAAGTGTTGGTTTGTAGGGATTTGATTGGTTACAGGATTTAATCGTGAGCTGACATCAGTTAGAGAACCATTGGAAAACCTGCAGGGAGTACTGGACAGTTGTTTCGTCCTAGTTTGGGACTCTTCACAGTACGCAACCACCACCAGGGTTCGAACCCAGGAACTTTTGGTTACAAGGCGAGCTGCCTCGTAAACCATTAAGCCATTGAGACCTGACCCAATGGTCATACAATGAATTCCAACTTCTGCCAATGAACAACATAGCGCGACCACTGGCCAATGTCTTCGGCGAGTATTTGTCCTCACACCCGACCTGCTGCACCCTACTGGTCACGACTTCTCACTAGAACCCCAGGTAACTAACTTCCTGAATAGGACCAGTCGCAGGTGAGCATCTCATTGATATTCAAGTGTTGGTTTGTAGGGATTTGATTGATTACAGGATTTCATTATGAGCTGACTTAATGGTAAACGAGCTCTCCTTGTAACCAGAAGGTCCCGGGTTCGAATCCCTGCGGGTTCGTACTGGTGAAGAGTCCCAAACTAGGCCGACGAAACAGCTGTCCAGTACTCTGTGCAGGTTTTCCAATGGTTCTCTAACTAATGTCAGCTCATGATAAAATCCATTTTGTTTGTCATGCAGTTACTAGTTATGAATTTAAATACGTTTTTTTTAAAAAATTTTATAGTCTAATTAGATTTGTACATTGTCCAAATTTGTAACCCTTTGTATTCCACTTGTTTTTTGCCTTTCATTGTTTTACAACTAGCTACTGGAAATTTTATGTGTGTTGTACCAACGCCTAAAGAATGCTTTAAATTATGCCAAGAAATTGGATGTACCGAATGGAATCATATGAATCTTGTTCCATCTGGTAGTGAAGAAGTTAAACGCTATCATAGATGTCGATGTTTTCCAGAGTATAATATGTGTTTCTATAATTATGTCCCAAGAACATATCGTGACTTTGATTGATGAATGAATGAATGAATGGCGGAATGGATGAACACTTTTCATATCTTTAATTTATTTCTTAATACTTCAGATGTTTATTCAATGAGATATAAAAAATAAAATATGTGTATATATTATACTTATATATTTATGTATGTGTGTAAATGCGTGTAAATTTACTCTTTGTGCTAATTGAATATTGAGTACTATGTAGATAATTTGTTGTACAAAAATATGTTTTTGTTTTTGAAGTGTTCCACGTTTTGTGTTGTTTTTCAGGGAATTCTAAGGATTATTTTTATTCTATATCCCTTTTATACAAGTTATATACCACGGATAAATGTAAAATATAGTTTTTGAGAGATGATGAACTCAGCTTCTTTCTACTTTGCTGATTTATTTAGGTGTTATAGTTTGAATGAGAATTTTAGCGGTTTTCATCTTGGTGGCTATTTTAAACAAGCGTCAAAAGATAAATTAAAAACCCATAAAGTGATGTAATACCACGTAGATTCAGACTGCCAAGCTCAACTCACTTTTTAGCTTGCATATCTAATTGCTGCTGATTGGAGTCTATCAGCGGGCTGGAGGTCACACAGACGTACACTGTCTCTTTCCAATCTTCTGTCTCACTTCTGATTTGATGTTGGTCGAAGCCGGTGTTAGTTCGAAGACAGCAGCATAATTTTATTATTATTATTATTGTATCCTTTAATCCCTAGAGGAACATAGGGCTTCAGCCGTGCGTCTCCATTGCGTTCCCTTCTCTGCTAGAGTCTTCACCTGGCTCCATGTCTGTCCACACGTTTTCATCTCCTCTTCACATGACCTCCTCCAAGTCACCCTTGCACTGACGACCAACTCGCCGCTTCCCATTCGGCTTCCACTCGAGTGATGGCCTGGCGTGTAATGTCACTTGATGGTTTCCTCAGAGTATGGCCAATCCATCTCCATTTCTTCATGCCTGTTTGTTTCACAATCGGTTCGTGATTGGTTCGCTCATTGCCAGAGATCCCTGTTGCTGATCTTTTCTGGCCATCTGATCTTGAGTATTGAGCGAAGACAACTGTTAATGAAGGCCTGTAGTTTGTTGGAGATGCTCTTTATGACGCGCAGTGCAAGTCTCTGACCCGTATAGTGAGTAGCACTGATTTCATATTGGAGTTGAAAATCCAAATCTTATTTTTGATGCTGAGTGTTGTTGACCACCACACAGGTCAGCATCATTTTACCAAAATAGTATTGTTTGATTACGGCCCTCATGGTTATGTAGTGGTACGAAAGGCCTTTTATGTTCTATGCACTTATTTGTGATGTGAATTAGGCTAACTTGTACGAATTATAGGCGGGATTTATGGTCGAATGCTATTCAAAGCTAACTGATCTGTACTGCACATTTTATGTTCATGACCTCATCACAGATTTCGTGACTTTCAGGAGTACTGAGATGGATGAGCCAGGAAAAAAACATTTTGTTACTTTTCGTCAAACTGTTCATTAGTTCATACCAGTATCACAACATCTAGATGGAAATTTTCGCCATCGATAAATTTAAATATCAGTATGGGCCAATTTGATGTATGTAGGGGACTGTCTAGTGAGCTCAATAATATAACAAGTATGTAAATAAAAATTCGAGTTAATGGGATGATAGTATAACGGTATATTATAAAGAATACAGTAATGAGTTATATTAATTAAAAGGTTACCTGGATATACAGTTAAAGTCCACAGCTACAAATTATTAATATAATCCACAGAAGCATCCACTGCTGGAGTCGTGTTTACTGGTAGAATCTGTGTACCGATTGTAGAATAGTCTTCGGATGAGGATAAGAGGTTCCTGCAAAAATCCAAAGGATACAACATGGTTATGAGTGGAGCAAGTAGACAATATAGATCAGTGAGAAGACTAAACGACCAACACTAGACTGTATTTTAGATTGTACTCGGAAGTTATCTATATTCCAGCGTGAATCTTTTTAAACAAAAGTCGTGTACAATGTTTCTAATTTCAACATCTAACAAAAAAGTGTACGGTCATATTGTTACGCTCTCCACATGTATTCACTGAGTTGCCCTGGTGGAGAAGGTACTTGAAACTATTGATTTTTTCGGATATCCTGTCACAGTTATGTTAAAGTACAGTCTAGTGACTGCGAACACACACATCAGTGGGTGATTCCATAAAGATTTTTTGCGTATCTCTAAATTAAGTTAATTTTGAGTTGCTGGTGGAACGAAGGAATTTTCTTAAACCCTTGCAGTTTACTTGTAGAAAGCAAGTAGTATAAATTATACAAAAAAACAATTAAACTTGTTAGAGTAATATTCTGTTGTTTCAGGTTGATTATTTGAACTGTTATTTCCAGAAATTGTAAAAATTGAGCTATGAAGAATTTAGTTAGTGGTTTTTATCAGAAAAGCTCTTCTTTGTGGCAGGCATATTCGTAAAGTCACAGAGATCTGCAACTAGCATCTTGGTCTGAACAATTACTTATAAAAACCTAGAAGAATACAAAGTCACATGAATTTGTAAATAGAAAATAGCAGGCATACTGGAGCCTGAAAGGAAACAGTTATTTACGCACTCGCTCTGTGACACCTCCCAGTTCATCGACTGCATACAAGATATGAATGTGTCTAGCAAAATTATGCTGTCCTTGGATATTGAGTCACTTTTCACCAATGTCCCACTCACGGAAACGGTCTGCTTCATATGCAAATACATAGATGACAACCATCTCAGTATTGGAACACCAACAACATATTTGAAGGAATTATTATTGAGATGCACTCTGAACATCCAGTTCACATTCAACAACACCATCTACAGACAAAAAGATGGTATTGCAATGGGATCTCCGTTGGGTCCACTCCTATCAGATTGCTTCGTCGCAAGCCTCGAGAAAGGTCCACTAAAGCCAAGCATTGGCAATTTGCGACTGTATAAAAGATACGTAGACGACATATTCCTTATTTGTGACAACAACAATGACCCCAATCTACTGCTGAAGACATTTAACTGTTGCCATCCAGCAATAAAATTCACTCTTGAAATGGAAAATTAGTCAAAAATTCCATTTCTTCATGTGGAACTGATGGGAGCCTAAGAAGATCGATCCATTGAAAACCTACTTGGAGTGGCCAACTAACAATCTTCTATAGCTGGGTACCCATTCAAAAAAAGCGAAATTTAATTAAATCACTTGCCACCCGCATCCGACGCATCTTCAGTCCCGACGTTCTGGAAACAGAATTAGATATTCTAAGAGAAATTTTCATCCAAAATGGATACCCAATAAGATTCATCGACAAAAATATCAAACCAAGAATTCGGAGAAACGAAACTTTAATTGCGCCAAAAAAGAAACTCTACATGAACTTGGATTTCAAGGGAGATTTAGCAAGAGATATTCTCAAGAGAAGGATCACATCATCTCTGAGAAGAACATTCTTTGCAGCAACGCTAAGAATAGTGTTCTCCAGTCGCCCACTGATCTGCAGAAGCCTCAAGGACAAGATCCCGCATCTGACCACTTCTATGTGCATATATCAGTTCACCTGCTGCTGTGGAGCCAGGTACATCGGTCGTTCGACGCGCATCCTGTCCAAGAGGATTCAAGAACACTATCCAGCATGGTTGCGAAAAGGCAATAGTGGTGCAATAAGGAGTGCGATAATTGAACACCTGGTTAACACTGATCATTCCATTTCAACAAACGCCTCCTTCAAAGTAATCTACAGAGTCAAGAATAACCTATCAAAGGCAATACGGTTTCGCCTTCTTTGTATCGCTGAAGCTCTGGCCATTCACATAGAAAAACCGGAGCTGTGCATACAAAAGAGGATTACTCAACCACTTCTACTGTCTTGGTAACAACTTTTTTGATTTGATTTTTTGATTTTGATGACTTAATTTTGTTTCTTTGCCTGTTCTTTAATTGCTTATAATTCTTGTATTCATTTAGAACTCTTACGTAATTTCGTATTATCTACTTTGTTCCTATGTGCATCCTGAGTAAAACTCACTCATCAAACTATTCATATTATTACATAACTTCTTTTAACAACTGTTTGTGACAACTCATCACCTTTGTTACTACCCTAATTTCACTAACACCTAATTTTCTTGACTGATTTTGTATTACGTAACTCCAATTACCAATCTTCACCTGTTTAGTTAAAATAACTATAACCAATTGTATTTTTGTTTGACAAACTTAATGTACACATAAATACAAATTAACACATATATATTTGCGATTGTACAGCTAAGAAAATGAATTCGCCGAAAAGAGACTTTTCGCTGATCTATGTGTTTTGTTTTCATTAATGCCTGGATGGGGATTATACATGAAATAGAAAACTCTTGCCACTTACTCTACAGAAGGCTATTTGAAAACTAAATTGTTCTGGAGACTGAATATTTAGTCAGTGTATGACAGAAATGAGGAAAATTCCGAAGCGAAATAAAATTCCTCTTATGCAGTCCTTTTTCCCAAGGAGGAAGAATGGATGTGACTCACTTTGAAAACTGCTCAGTCACCTTTATCCTATAGCTTTTTTCAGCCGACTGTCACCACAACTTTTGAGGAATAAACACTTGTTGACGACTTCTAAAAAACATATTTTGTGGTTCTGAAGTAGCAGAGCAAATTCCATTTACTGTATGGAGACATCAAATTCCTCAGTGCGAATAACTGTTAAGTATCAACAACCCACAACAGAGAGGTGAAGTGTGGTGTGTAACTTATTTTGAGTGATTGACTTCCTCTCTCAAGTTGAAATGTTAAGCGTTTCAGGATAATATCTACAATACCTTTATTTCTTTATCAGGAGTAACTTGAAAAAGATGTCCCACTCTGGTGCTACAGATGTTAAATCAGTGATGGACGCATATACTCAATATCATTGTTGGGAAGGACTGGTCATCTTTTCGAGGTACCTCCAAGCGCACTTGTGACTAAATGAACGTATGGAGCGTAGTGGTAGAGAGTGACTGTATTCCTTTTAAAATTGAAAACGTCAAGTTTATATTAAACAATAAGTGACTGGATTCTTATATGAAAACCATTTTGGTTCTCGTCTTGATCAGACATATTGTTACATTTAGTTGATTTCATGAAACAGATAAATGGAAAATTTTTTCCTTCATATCAAGTTGGTAGTCACCATTGGGTATAAGCAGCTTCATCTAGTGATAATTGGTAAGCTCAGTACAGCTCACTCTGACATTAGGTCTGCAATGGATCACTAACGCAACAACCATTTCACCTTTCTGGATCTTAGCATAGCATGTAGAAGTGATGCAACCACTGAAAAAGAAACTATCCATTGGGAAGAAACGTGGGCTGGTCAGTACCT